CAATCATGTATGAGATAGAAAATAATTTTTATTACTAAACATAAAATAAATGGAAGTATCACTGAGCAGTTGTTTATACTATATAATACCATAATATTCTGACTGGACTGTGGGTACGTTGAAATGTTTTTCAATCAGGATCATCCTCCAAGTATTCCTGTTCATTCATGTCTGCCTCAAATTGCTGGTAAATACATAAAATAGTTACTTGGCTAATCATTTCAATGCACAATAATTTTCTGGTGTCCTTTCTTGTGTAAGAGTGGGCATTACACATTCTTATCCGGACTGAATTTTATATATCTCCAAGAAAACTCTCATCTGTGACTATTTTTAATGTTTAAAATGTGACTGTAGTTCTCTAGTGGAGTTTTAACTTTTTTTTTTTTTTTGGTGTTTTGTTCAAAAGCTGAGACAAGCATGAATGACTCTAAGTCTTACCAACAATGTGATGTGATCAATTTAAAAAGTGAACCAAAATTTAAGTAGTATCCTATGCTAAATGAAAGGGTCCCTGGTAGCGTAGTGGTTAGGAGTCGGGCTGCTAACCTCGTGGTCAACAGTTTGAAACTGCCAGCAGCTCCACAGGAGAAAGATGAGGCTTTCTCCTCCTGCAAAGATTTACAGCCTCGGAAACCCTGTACAGGGTTGCTGTGAGTCAGCACCAACTCCAAGGCACACCACTACCACCATCAACTGACTCGATGGCATTTAACACAACAACATGCTAAATGAATTCTGAAACAAAGCTAAGAGTTTGCAGAGATTCTAGGTGATGCATTTACTAAACAAGCAGTTTAGTAAATATAAGAATACAAGTGTACTAACAGCTATTAATTGGTCCATGAATAGATTTCATTTGATACCAATGTAAACATATAATTACTAGAAAACTAATGAACCTATATGTTTAAATTTATCAAAGTAATTTCTGTTTGAAAGTAGAAGTTTTGTTCTACTTTGATAATTTACTATGTGACTTCATAACATTCGTAGAAAAATTTCATTATCTTTCAGTTCCATTTTTCCACAAGTTTTTTGAAGTCCTCTTATATTTTCTCTATCACATCTAATTTTTGAAAGCCACTAAGTTACTTAATGGGAAGCACTGTGGCTGTGTAGGCTAAGCACTGAATTGCTAACTATCAGCAGCTCTGTGAGAGAAAGATGAGGCTTTCTGCTCTTGTAAAGATTCACAGCCTTAGAAAATACAGTTTCACTGTGAGTTGAAACCAACTCAAGAGCATTTAAAAATAAAATGTTATTAACAATACTATTTAACTTAAAGGACTCAATGTCTTTGGAAGTATAAAGGTAAATAAAATATTAAAAATGCAGTCATTAAACTTTAAATTATCAAAAGCATGGATAATAATATTTGACAAAATAGATAATTCATTATTCAAAAAATATGAAAGACTAGATTTGTTTTGTCATAAAACAAGAAAGAAAAAAATTCAGAGCCTTAACTCATTTAAAACTGGGCTATTCACATATACTTTGCTGTTTCTTTATAATTAAGTTCAACATAAGTTACTTGCTATATTCATTTCATAAAGATAGTCATATATTTACTCACCTGGCAAATAAGAGGAACTTGATGCAAGACCATCTCAAATACCTTGGGAGGGAGTGTGTGTTTGAAAACTTTGAGAAGTTCCTGTGGTTGTGTACACACTAAAAGGGCATTGCTAAAGTGGTCAACACCCATTCGATGTGCTCCTGAAACCAATTGAGACATTTTGAGCATAATTTTAAACTTTTTCAAAATATGACATGAATTAGATATCTGGGAGTGGGAAGGGGGGTAGATTTATGAAATTTGATTTCTAAGTGAAGTTCTACAGGTATTTCTGCTTTAGGAAGTAGAAGATTGGTGGCTCATAATGATTTATCAAAAATACTATTATTAAGAATTCTCTTAAGAAGGCCAAGGTTCTTACATTTAATAATCTCAAAACTTCATTTATGTAGACTTACCCTGACAGTGCCACCACTCGTCTGTCAGTTTGTCGTACTGTGGTGGCTTGTGAGTTGCTGTGTTTCTGAAA